TTAGGGGTTTAGGGTTCAGGGTCTGGGGTTCAGCAGCTTGGTCCGTGAAGTATTACAGTAAAGTTGTATTTACGGTTTTAACACAACGCCCACCCACCCGAAGAATGCCAAAGCATTAAGAAAACCATTTTACTTCTATCAAAACCTACAGCTTAAATCCTAACCCCTACCTTTCAGATAAGCCTAAAACTCCTAAGGCCTAAGAAACCGATCTGTCACCTAAAGGCCAGCCCAGACTAAGCCCTAAACCCTGAAAGGCCAACCCAGACCATGCCGTAAACCCAGAATCAGCCCAGACTAAGCCCTAAACCCTAAAGGCCAGCCCAGACTCAGCTCTTTAAACAACTAATGTGTGCAAGGTCGGGTGCAAAACTTGCAGGTAAAAGAGGTTAAGGGTTAAGGGTTTTAGGTTTAGGGGGGTTTAGGGCTTAGGGTCTAGGATTTTAGGTTTAGGGGGTTCGGGGATTTGGGGTGAAGATTTTACCCTAAACCCTAAACCTTAAGTAGGGTTCCGAAATGCCGGGGCATGGGATCCTGTTGTCACTGCAAGGTTGAAACAGACGCGGCAAGCCATGCATGCTCTCCAGCTCTACACTGCACGGTTCAACTGTAATAATTAAGGGTTTAGGGTTTAAGGTTTAGGGTTCAGGGTTTAGGGTTTAGGGTTTCGGGTTTCGGGTTTCGGGTTTAGGGTTTAGGGTTTAGGGTTTAGGGTTTAGGGTTTAGCGTGTCAAGAATATGTCATGGCAGCCGGTAAGCCGGAGGTCACCAAACAGGCTCGCCTTCTGTACGTGCGTTCGAACGATTCGCTGTGGCGAAGTGAAACCGAAACCGCAAGACGTCAAAGAAGATGTGCAACAGTTTTGGAGCCTGACTAATTTCCAGTAAAAGGCCTTTCTGGTCCTCCTTAGAAACATACAAAAACAAACCCCAAGAGTTAAACTCCCTGGCAAGCGAGGCTTGCAGAAGGAGTCCGCGCGCATCATGTTCTGAGGCGACGGGAGGCCGAAGACGACTTCGACAAGGATATAACTTTCCACTCTTGGGTGCTCACCGCACCAGGTGGCGGGATAGAGGGTTTCGGAAGTTCAGACTGTCGGATGTCGAGCTACTTCTTGGAAGGTAGGGCCCCCTCTCCCGGATGCAATCTATCCGAATTAGTCCGGACTGTCAGGCGATGAGAATCCTATTCGGATCTCTGCACTGAAGGCCCACGTTGATGTCTCCACCTGACCTTGCCCTTGCCGTCGCTGCCGGCGTGCCTTCCGTGCCATGTGCTTCTCCTGTGCAACACGCAGTGGCTTTTGTCATAGATGTCAGACTACTGGCAGTATCCTTTCGGCAACGGGTTTCGGGCTCTAGAGCTTCAAGGCTCTAGCTTTGGCTGATACTTCGGCTCCCGCTGCTCTGCCTCTGCTGCTGCTCCCGCTTCTGCTGCTCAGGCTTCTTGCGTCTGCTGCTACTGTGCGGCTGCGACTGCTGCTGCCATACTGATGAACGCTGAATGGCACTGGTTGCTGGTTGCTATGACTGCTGCCAGTAGTTCAGCAGTTCCCATCAGAACAATAAAACCGCAAGTTGGCACCCTTAGGGCTGTCTGGGATGTTGGTGACCCCGACCCTGCTCTTTCCGCCGGAGTTAGACAAACTGGGTACATGTCCCTGAGGCCTTCTTCTTGCACGCCAGCGCCGAATCGAAGCTGCACAGATGACAGAAGGAACACGCCGCCCCGCGTGTGCAGGAGTCCGCATGCATCGTGAAGAACCGGCACGGCCGGCAAGCTCCGTTGATGTGCGCCTGCCACTTGTCTTGCCCGTCCACCTTGCCCGTCTTTGCAACGACACCTTGTTTCAAAGGCTCGGGATCGCACTTCTGCCAGTCTCCAGCCTGCGTGGCAATGGCCGCGGCCGAGGATTGCGGCCAGCCAGGCTCGGAAGAACACTTGCGAAGAGGCCGGCTAGGCATTTCTTCTTCTTCCGGAAACTGCAAGAAGGTGTTTTTGACTACGGCATTGGATAAGCCTTAGTTTGCGAACTGCGATGCAAAAAAGACAGGGCAAGTTGAGGAGTCTTCTTCCAAAACATCCCTGTGGACTAAACCCTAAACCCTAAACTAAGCTCAGGCTTTCGATGCCACTTTCTTTCCCGTCATCCCACTGTCGCCGGGAAAACAAAGATGCTTTACACAGAAATCCCGACGAGAAGATATCACATCAAATCATACGCTCTGTACTGTACTGTACTGTACTGTACTGTACTGTACTGTACTGTACTGTACTGTACTGTACTGTACTGTACTGTACTGTACTCTACTAGACTATACTACAAGATCATAAACTGCAAGAGAATAAAAACCGTATACTGTAGTATAGCCCGACGAGAAGCGAGGGTTTAGGGTTTAGGGTTTTTAGGGTTTAGGGTTTAGGGTTTATACTGTAGTATAACCCGACGAGAAGCGACAGCGAGCCAAGGAAAACCACTCCATCGGACCGGATTTCATCCTTGAGCTCAAGTGGCCTCGGCGCGTGCCTCAACCACTGTTCTACCTGGAATGTCGGGGGGGTTTAGGGTTTAGGGTTTAGGGTTTAGGGTCAAAGGTTTAGGCTCTGGGCTTTAGGGTTGAGGCTTAGGGTTTGGAGTTTGGAGCTTAGGGTTTAGGGTTTACCTGGGGGATCAGAGGAGATTAAGTAGTGTTATATGAGTAGCTCATTTGGGAGATACCAGTAAATACACCTACAACTACCTGACATGTCGCCGTACTTACTTAGTCCCCACTGCTTCGGGTCTTTCAGGCAGTAGCTCAAAGTTTAGGCACTTCAGAACTTGTGGATTTACGGCTTAGGGTTCGGAGTTTCGGATTTTGGGTTCAGCGTTTAGGGTTTAGAGCTTCGGCACCTTTAAGTCCAAGTGGAAGCATTATCTTGAGGAACCCACAAGCCACGAACACCCTAAACCCTAAACCCTAAACCCTAAACCTTCGCCTGGCCTCTCGGCAACGACAAACATCCACGGAACACGAAAACTCCCAAAACCTTGTCGGCTCTGCGTTCAACTTTCAGAGCCTCCTGTCTATAAGGGTGCCGTACTATCCTGGGGACCTACAAAGGGACCCTAATTTATAGAACTATCCATGCAATACTGCCACACAATCACAAAGCCCTACGCCGTTCTGGAACCCACATACAAACCTCACACTGCCGATTTGAAAACCATGTAGACAAACGGTAGGGGAAAAAAAACCTACACCCCTCTTAGACCCTATACCCTACACCCCTGAACCCTAAACCCTAGACTAAACCCAAACCCTGAGATACCGGCTGGTACGGCATCCGCGTACCTTGCTGAAAGGCCAAGGCCCTCTGGTCGGCGGCCTCATGGCTGCCCTGGCTGGAGTTAGGGTTTAGGGTTTAGGGTTTAGGGTTTAGGGTTTAGGGTTTAGGGTTTAGGGTTTAGGGTTTAGGGTTTAGGGGTTTCGGGTTTCGGGTTGAGGGTTTAGGGTGGTTGAGGGTTTCGGATTTAGGGTTTAGGGTTTAGGGTTTTGGGTCTGGTGGGGAAGACGGGGCTTCAGGGCTTCAGGGCTTCAGGGTCTTCAGGTCTGGAGTTTTGGAGTGTGGACTGAAGCATGGGGTCCGGGGGTTCAGGGTTTAGGGTTTAGGGTTCAGGGCTTAGGGTATCTACAAAATTCAAAGTACTGCAGAACTGCAGAAAACTCAGCTGACAGCGACCTTGCACAACTCAGGACTCAGGACTCAGGGTCTGGGGTTTAGGGGTTTGG